CCTCCTCCTCCCCCTCCTCCTCCCCCGCCTCCGCGTCCGCAGACACCGACCAAACCCTCAACCCGCTGAACTTCATGTTCGCCAACCTCCCGCAGACGCGCGCCCCAGGCCAAAAGATCTCCCTGCCCACGGAACGCGAAGCCAGCTCGATCCCCAAGTCCGACGGCGCGGTGTGGGAGTACCCCTCGCCACAGCAGATGTACAACGCAATGCGCCGCAAGGGCTACGCCGACGCGCCCGAGGACGCCGTCGAGAGCATGGTCGCGATCCACAACTGGCTGAACGAGGGCGCGTGGGCCGAGATCAGCGCGTGGGAATCGAAATACCGCGGCGGGGTGCTCGGGCACCTCGGACTGCTCAAACCCGCCACGCCGCCGCTCGAAGCCGCATCCGCTGACGAGGCCCCACGGTTGCTCCGCTTCCAGGGACGGCGTGCCGATGTGAGTCCCAAGGCGCGTATGTATGGTGCGCTCGGGCGAGTGTTCCCGACGAGGTTTGGCGGGCCGGCGCCGTTTGATCGCCATGACTGGTATGTGCTGCGCAAACCCCCGGGAGAGGCGGAGCCGAGGGAGGTCAGGTATGTGATTGATTACTATGCGGGCCCGCCGGAGCCGACGGGCGAGCCGGTGTTCTATCTGGATGTAAGACCGGCGATTGATAGGCCTGGACTGATGATGGAGCGGATTGTGGAGTGGGTGGGGCCGGTGTGGGAGAAGGCGAGTGGGCTGGATGTGAGGCGCGCGCAGCAGGCGGAGGAGGCGCGGAAGGCGGCGGGGTATTAGGTGGAAGAAGTAGGAGGAGTGGGGGGTGTAGGATATGTATGATGTGTGTCTGTGTGTGTTGTGTGATAAAAAAGGTGTTGAAGGTTGGGGGAACTCTTCTCTTTTGTAGTTTTCCGGTTTTGGTTTACGTTGGGGGATTTAACAATAGATTTATCAACGCTACGAGCAATGACAAGACTGGGCTCTGAAAAATATGAACTGTGCTCCTAGCATAAGCCCCAATATCCCATCGCCACCCCAGCACCTCCCGCCCCTGCTGCAAAATCATCTCTCCACCACACAACCAGCACCAGCAAAAGCTGTAAAAAAAATAGAGTACCGCGGATTCCCGCATGCCCACCCACTGCAGTACTAACGCGGCGATAACATGCTTCAATAGGGCGAGCGGACGGGAAGCCTTGTGTTCATGTTTCTATGACCGTAGCTGTCCATTCTGCAATTCGGGGAACTTTCCACGGTGTAAAAGGCATGCTGGGTCACTCGGGAGCGGGGAGAGGGAGAAAGTTGAAGGTGAAGGGCCAGAGAGGATGGAGGGTGTGGATCATGTGAGGATGGGGATATTGAAACATGCGCGTTTAAATTACTAGCTGGAGTTGGGGGTGGAGAGCTGGGTGACCTTGGTTGTCACTGCTCTATACATAGGTGAACTAGTCAGACAGCAACCAACGGCCGAATACATATCTCTATTGAGAAAGCCGGAAGGAGTCTTGCCAAAACCTGCAGCATTAGAGTAGAGCATGCAGATCAGCCAGGTACTTCGCGAGAGTCGAGTCCCAAGCTCTGTTCACCTCCCACCCCCAGCGCCAAGCCACAATCTGCGGCTCCCACACCCCAGCCCCAACCTTAATCCAACCCGTGCCAACCGTCAACTCCGTCGATACCCTCATCCTCACCTTCACCTTCACCGTCACCTTCACCGTCACCTCCCAACACTACCTCCCACGGCACCACCGCAATGTCCTCCCGCTGGGCCTCCGACACGCCCGAAGACGCCGCCGAGCTCGCGCGCATCAAGCTCGAGAAAGCCGCCAAAAAGGCCGCAAAGGAGTCGCGCAAGCGTGCTCTCGCCGCCGCCGCCGCCGCCGCTGCCCCAGCCAGTGCCACACCCACCGCCTCCTCCACCCCTAATGCCGCCTCCACTGCCCCAACGCCCGACGAATCAACGACCGCGCCGCCATCGAAACGGCGCCGCATCGCCACCGACGCGAAACCGCTGCGCTTCCCGGCGCCAGAGATCCGGTCGTGCCGCAATGTCGACGCGTCGTACGAGCCGCTGAACCATATCGAGGAGGGGAGCTATGGTGTTGTGTCGAGAGCACGGGATCGGGAGACGGGCGAGATCGTGGCGCTGAAGAAGTTGAAGCTGGAGAGGGAGACGGACGGGTTTCCGATTACGAGCTTGAGGGAGATCAGGACGCTGATGGAAGCGAGACATGAGAATGTTGTGAACCTGCGGGAGGTGGTGGTGGGGGATGGGGCGAAGGAGTAGGTTTTCCACAGGCGTTGGGGGGCGCTCGCTAACTCGCAAAGGATAGTGTGTACATCGTGATGGACTTCATCGAGCACGACCTCAAGACGCTGAGCGAGGACATGCCCGAGCCGTTCCTGCAGAGCGAGCTCAAGACGCTGCTGCTGCAGCTGCTGTCGGCGACGGCACACATGCACGCGCACTGGATCCTGCACCGCGACCTCAAGACGAGCAATCTGCTGATGAACAACCGCGGCCAGATCAAGGTCGCGGACTTTGGGCTCGCGCGCTACACGGGCGACCCCGCGCCGCCGCTGACACAGCTCGTCGTGACGCTGTGGTACCGCGCGCCGGAGCTGCTGCTCGGCGCGACCACGTACGGCTTCGAGATCGACCTGTGGAGCATCGGCTGCATCTTTGGCGAGCTGCTGACGCGCGAGCCGCTGCTGCAGGGCAAGAACGAGATCGACCAGCTGAGTAAGATCTTTGAGCTGCTGGGCGTGCCGACGGAGGAGTCGTGGCCCGGCTTCCGCAGGCTGCCCAACGCAAAGAGCTTGACGTTCCCCAAGACGACGGGGAGCTTGGTGCGCAGTCGCTTCCCGCTGCTGACGGCGGCGGGCGTCGACCTGCTGGGGTCGCTCCTGAAGCTCGATCCGAAGCAGCGTATCTCCGCTGACGACGCGCTGAAGCACCCGTTCTTTAAGGAGGACCCGAAGCCGAAGCGCCAGGAGATGTTTCCAACGTTCCCGAGCAAAGCCGGGCAGGAGAAGAGGCGACGGCAGTATTCGCCGGGTGCGCCGGTGCGTGGCGATGCGCCGGTGCTGAAGGGAGATGTTGCTGGGGGATTTTTGGTGGCGGCGGAGGAGGAGCAGGCGGGGGCCGGGTTTGCGTTGAGGATGGGGAGGTGATGTTTATACCGAAGCGTTGGTGCTGGGACCGGTGCCGTTTCCGGGAGTGGGTTGGCGCGTGGCTGTATATGTAGACATTTAATTCATCTGCTAAATTCACTTTTGTACCACGGTCTTTGTACTCATCTCCGTTTTCCCTCCGTTTTCCCTCCCTTTCCACTCCCCTTCGTCTCCTCATCTCTCCTCTCTTCTCTTCCTCATCCTCATCACTACAATCATCGTCATCCACAACCGTGGGTCCATCTTGCTACTTTTGCTATTCATTCGTTCCGTCCCTGCTTTCCTTTGTTTTGTTTCAAACGCATCATGTCACCCAGCAAGCCCCTCCTCACCCCCCGAAAACTTCTACCCCCCATCACCCTCAGCCCAATTCCTCCCTTCCGCGGCGGTATGATCCGAAAGTCTCCAGAGATGATCCGCAAGTCGCCAGAGCCCTTCCAACACCAGATCTCAGGGCTTCCCCCACGGGCCCCCGAAAACGCCAGACTTTACAAGGACCTGCTGCCAGACGATTACACCTACCCGCTCCCTGAGCCCGGCCTCCTGGCCCCCATCGACCCCAACGGCTTCGACCAAGCCTCTGACAGCCCTAAGCCGCGTACCGACAGTCCTCTGATCCTCACACGGCTGTACTTCCGCCTCGTAAGCGTCCTACACCACATCCTACACCCTCACTAACCCCACCAGCTCCCGGCACTCGCAGAAGAGCCCTCGTCCACGCTCCTCCTCGTCACCCCCGGCTCGCGGTTCGTCGACATACGCCTCTCGCGCACGCAGCCCACTACGCTCCTCTGGGGCTCCTCCGGCACCTACTACCGCACCTCCACCTCGGGGCTGCGCGGGCACAGCATCGACTCGCGCACCACGCGCCCCGAATCCCACTACCACGTCCTGCGCACACAGGCAAACGGCGACATCCACCAGTCGGGCGAACGCAGCACCGACGGGCGCCCGTACGAAGAAGTCTGGCGCGCCAGTGCCGTGACGCCGCGGGTCGTGGTGGTGCTCGCGCTGCGCAGCGGCAAGGGCAAGGGCGCGGTGGGGTGCGTGGTGCGCGTCGGCGGGTGGTGCCAGGGCATTGTCAAAGTCGGCGGCGACACGACGGTGGAGCGGTGGATGCGTGGCGCTGACGTGCGGTGGAAGCGCGTGGCGCGCGTGGGCAAGGAGGTGGTGCCGTGCGGCGTCGCGTGCTTGGACCGCGATGAGAGCGGGCAGGCGGCGGAGCACCAGGGTGCCAGGTACTGGAAGGAGGCGGTCGGGGCGGGGTTTGCGGTTGTTAAGACTGTGGGCGTCGGGGATACTCTGCGCGTGGGCAAGTGGGAGTGGGAGGTTGTGGAGCGCGAGAATTGGTAGGCGTGGAGTGAGGTAGACGGGGAGAAGGTTGCTTATAAGCTTTGGTATTGCTGCAGATGTAGCTTCGTTTATGATGGGTATAGCTAGCGGTTGGGTATGGTTATGGGTGGCTTTGATTATGGCTTTGATTATTGCTGTTTTTGTATTCGGGATGGCTTTAATCCCCACTTTTGCTGCGCGTTTATAGATATCTCCATATTTGCTACAGTCTTGTTATTTCCGTGATAGATTGCATTCACCGAATCCAAACTCCACCACCCACCCCACCATCACCTCTCGCCCATCCGCCCCCAACACGGTACACCCAAACCCTTCACCCGCCACCATCCGCAACCCAAAATCCTTCACCGTACCGCCATCCCCTCCCCCAGCCCCCCGCCCAAATCGTCCGTTTCCACGGACAACCAAAAACATTTCGTCCACCCAGCGGGCCTTCACACAGCCAACCATATAAGCCGTGTGAGGAGGTGCGCTGGACACACGAAGAAGTGACCCCGACGTGATTTGAACACGCAGCCTTTCGATCGCTCGCGGTGGGATTGCTGGAATCGAACGCGCTACCGTTGCGCCACGGAGTCTGTGCGATGGAGCGGGTCATCCTCGGAGAGAGAGGGAGAGGGAGAGGGGGAGGGAGAGGGAGAGGGAGGAGAGGAGGGGAGAGGGAGAGGGGGAGGGAGAGCTAGCTTAGGATGTGTGGATATGAAGCGGAGTGGAGTGGAGTGGAGTGAAGTGAAGTAGAGTGGAGTGGAGTGGAGTGGAGTAGACGGGCGATGTTACAAGCTTTGGTATTGCTGCAGATTGCTGCGGATTTCTGCGGATTTCTGCGGACCGCTGCGGATTGCAGCGGATTACTACGCAGGGGCGGTCGGGTATGACGGGGTTTTAGCGGGAGGTTTGGGGTCTAGATATTGCGTTCCCTGTAAACGTCGAGTCCCACCCGCTGCCCACGGCCCGCCCGCCCCGCCACCGGCAGCACCACCAGCAGCATGCACTCCAGCAGCAACAGTAGAACGACGCCCGACATCGCGAACTCGGTGGGGGATTGTTGCGGACAACGCCCAGGGCTGCTGGGCGGGCTGCTGCGAAATGCATACCGTCACTCGTCACTCAACAACTGCCTCACAGCATCTGTCCTTCCTCTCGGGTACACAGCCCGTCACATTCCCATACCAAACCCCTCCAAACCACAGCAACACACCGTGCGATCCACTCCTGCTATGTATGTATGTAGACAATATCGCCCATGAAGCAAGATATAGGCAGCACATGTCCGTTCACCACCAGTCTCTCCTTCCCCGAACGTCGAACCCCGTCCGTTCTCGATCGAGGCAGACATGGCCAACCACCCCCCTCGCGACAGTGCGGGCACCAAAAACATCTCCCACCCAGCGTTCTTCACCACATCCACTTATGGTATTGCGTGAGAAGGTGCGCCGGACGCGAGACAGAGTGACCCCGACGTGATTTGAACACGCAGCCTTTCGATCTGGAATCGAACGCGCTACCGTTGCGCCACGGAGTCGATACTGCTCAACGGATTTGGGGGAGTATGGGCGCGTCAAAGGGAACTGGGACAGGAGAGGTGGGGGTGGGGGACAGGCTGGACCTTTAACGTGGTTCTGGATCATGCTACGCAGCCGGGTGCATCCACCGGTACTGTACGTGCGCCGAGTTGCAACGGCCCTAGCAAACGGGACTCGCGGTCCAAGAGGTGCCCGGTGCCCGACGGTTCAGGAATCAAAACCCCGGTTGTGAGCCGTGGACTGAAGCTGCCAGGCTTTCATCTCTCGCGCATATGTACGAGTACTCTACATTGACAATTATCCTGTTGCCTGTTTTCCAGTGCTGTCAAAGGTACGGCTCGGTTGCAGGCCTTGGTACTGCACACCTGCACGTCGACCGATTGGTCCGCACAAAACTTGGGGCGATGTCGGTCCGCCACTGCAACGGCATCCTGTTCCCCGCCAAAAGCAAGCCGTGGCGCGCTAGCAGTCTCAGCTGAAACGCACATGTTCAGCTCGATGCAGCCCGATGCTCAATAGCTGTCGGCGTCGCGGTTGGCCAGGTTCCGCCGACCCCGCCCCACCCCCACGCCGCAGCGGCATTATACCGCGCATATATATCTGCACCCCGCCCCCCCTACCCCGCCATAATTCAATCCCCAAACCGCCATGTCCGCCGAAACTCTGACCATCCCCCTCGCCTCGCTGGCCTCAGGCACGCAGCTCGACCTCACTTCCCTCCCCGCGAACCACTTCCGCTTCCTGTCAATCCCGCACTACCTCTCCGCCTCGCCGTCGCTCCACCTGACCTCCCACGCCACGCTCGAATCCGCGGCGCCATATGCAGCGCTGTCGTACCCGTGGCGCGACCTTGCGCCGCCAGCGAGCTCCACGGCGCCGATGTTTGGCGTTGCCGGAGTCACCGCCGACGCCGGGCGCGTGAGTCTCGCGGTGCTGCGCACGGCGTGTCTGCGCGCGCGCCACCACGGGGCGCAGCGGCTGTGGCTCGACAGGGTGTGTATCAACCAGACGGAGGCGGCGCTCGGCGATCGCGACTGGCACATGGCGCGGATGGGGACAGTGTATGCCGGGTGCGCGGTGTGCCTGGTGTTCGCGGGCGGGATCCAGCGGCTCGGCGGCGTGCAGGAGGCGACAGCGTGGATTGGGCGCGTGTGGACGCTGCTGGAGGCGGTGCTGCCGCCAAAGGTCGAGTGTGTGTTCCGCTGGGAGGAGACGCGAGAGGTGGTCGAGCTTGTGAACCTTGTGGCGCCGGAGGTGGTGGAGCCCGGAGTGTCGGCGGTGATGGAGCTGGGATGGATGCTCAGCGGGGTGTTGGCGGGCGGGCAGTACCGGTATGCTGGCGAGGATGAGATGACGGATGTGCAGTTCGCGCTGTTTGGACACCCCGAGGCGTATGTGCTGCAGCGACTGCTGGAGGAGGAGGAGCCCGAAAAGAAGGAGGCCGGCCTGTGGCGCAGCGCGTGGATGCGGACCGCGAGCTGGCCGAGGGACATGGCGCTGTGTATGATGGGGTTGTTTGGCGTGGAGCTGAACCCCGGTGATTATGTCCCGGACGAACAGCAGAAGCCGATGATGGACCTGGCGAGGGCGGTGTTGGCGCGCGGCGGGAGTGCAGGCTGGATGGGACTCAGTCTGCGGATGGCGCCGGCGGACTTCATGAGCACCATGTGCCTGCTGCCAATCCCGAGAGACCGTGGCGGCGTGAGAGTTGTGATGCCTGGCGTGGGTCCCGTGGCGACGAATACGCTGATAGATCCGTATTGGCTGCTGGTGGGCGCGCCGAAGGGGTCGCTGGATGCGGCGGGCTATATGACGACGACGGTGCAGGCTCGGGAACTATCGGTAGCGTCTGAAGGAGACGAAGACGGAACATTGTCTATGAGTAGCGGGGAGAAATGGAGTATACCCGAGACAGCAGGGAGCGGGAAGTACTTCGCCCTCGTCGTAGGAAAAATGATTCCCAGCGTCGGCGGCGCGCTCGGGATGATCCAAATTGAAGCTGACACAGTCGTCATGGTTGTGCAGCGTGAGGGAGAGAGCGGGGACACTTATAACGTGAAGGGGTATGTGCAGGCCACGCCGCAGGTTGTCGAAGACTGGCAGGAGCGCGAGTTCCGTGTTGGGGGACCGAGAGCTGTTTGATTGTCTATAGCATCTGTAATAAAATTGAAAGACGTGTCTTTTTGCATACTTCAAACCGTTGTTGTGTAATTGGTCGAGAGGGACGTTGCAAGGTTGGACGTGGTGTGGACCTTTTCTCTTTACTGGTCTGTGTTGAAGGATAAGTAGTTTTAAACCAAGATAGAACCACGATCGAGACGCGGAATCTCAGAATCGTTCAGGGTTTTGTAAATCAACTCTCATCTCAAAATATGGTACCATCGCCGCCAGATAAGAGACTAGCAGAAGCTTCCCAATAGGCGAAAGATAAGGCGATGAGCAGTTATAATAGACTTGTTGGACGTATTATCGTGTTCACAGTTCATTGTGTGTTAAGCATACAGGAAGAGAAAGAGAAGAGTAGACCAAGGGTGATCGATGGGATCTCCCAGGAGACTCGAGCTCGCATGGAAAACACAGCACCATCGATGATGCAGGATTGCAAACTTCATTAGGGACTAGCTGGCGCGTGTTTGTGTCAATGAGAGAGGCAAGCCGACAACGTGGTGGAGATGGAAATCGACGAGAGCTGGTGGGGTAAAGATAGCAGGAACACCTACCGCGATGAGCAAGAGTAAGTAAAGGTTGTATAGATGATGATTTGTAAAGACGTAAGCGAGTTAAGAGAGCAAATAGTGCAAGTAGCATGTGACAAATGTGACTAAAACGAACGAAATCGAGTGACGCATCATGCACCTGCAAGTGCCATGCAACTGCGAATGAACGGCTGCCAGTGCAGACGACCAGCAGTGCTGTCTTTCCAGTATTACTATATTATAAACCCCTTCTCTTCACCTGGCTGTATTCATGGATGGATGAACTGGCGGGGCCGCAATCACAGATCAAAAAGTCGAGTGCTCAGCCAGCGCGCGAGCCTTGCTTAACCATGCATTCCACACCCACGGCCCCCTAACCCTGCACCACTCATGGCGTGTCGTAGTGAACTGTATCAAGCAGAGTATATTACAGGCCACACATGCAGCCATCTATTATCAACTCCCCCTCCTTCTACCGTCCCTCCTTCTTCTCCTCCCTCCCCACGCCCCCCACGCTCCCACCAAACCCAACAGGCCTCACGCCGCCCCTCTCCGGCACAATCGCCATAGCCTTATAAACCTCCCCCATCCCCGCCTCTCCGCCCCCGGTCAACCTCCTGTATTGCGTCTTCACTAAATCCCCCTTCCCTTCCTCTCCCTTCGCCGCCAGCCCCTCAATGATCCTCATCATCCTCTCCCTCAACCCAAGCAGCCCCAAAAACACTCCCTGGGGGACAGGCCCATGCACCTCCACCCCCTCGCTCGCATGCAACGCCCGTTCCGCCAGCGTGCCGAAGTCAACGTCCGCACTTACGTCCGTCGCGCCGGGCGCATGGAACGGCGACACCGTCCTGTGCCCGCGGATCCCGCGTAATGAGTTGGCGGGCACGGCCGTGGCGGGGCCGTAGTCGATGATCAGTGCGGCGCCGCGACGGGTGTTCCCGATGCGTTTAGAAAGGTCGTCGATTGTTGTGAGCGACTCGGGGGAGATCTCGATTATGCTGCCTGGGGTGTTTTGGAGGGCCGTGAAGCGCGGGGAGAGGGTGGGGAGGAGGCGGGAGTAGCGGGTGGGCGCCGCGGCGCGGGTGAGGCCAAAGATTTCGGGCTCGGGGGTGTTGGGGGTGGTTGTCGAGGCGGAGGAGGAGTCAGCGGGGGTGCTGGGAGTGCTGGGGGTACTGGGGGAACTGGAGGAGGAGGATTCGGGGGAGTCGGTGGCCGAGTCGGTGGGTTTAGACGCAGGCGGGTAGTGCGCAACCATCAGCTCCCGCCACCCCTCCGCCGTGGCTTCGAACGCATGGATCGGCAGCGCGTCGAAAAACTCATGCGCGACCACGAACTGTCCGCCCGCGCTCTCTCCTT